AGTGAAGGTACTTACAAAACACCCTGCATTTTAGGATTGATTCTTTGCACTGAACAGAAAAATATGTTAACATTTTTCGTGTTGTAGATTCGTAGATTATTTGCGTTTTTATCTAAAAATTATTTAAAACAAATAACCAAGATTTAAAAAAGTAACTAATTCGGATTTTGATAACAAAAATTATGATTTTTCAAAAATAGAATTCAAATTCAAATTATGAACAACATTTGCGATATTATTTGTAAAGATAATTTTACGCCTATCCGAATTAGCCTTTCCTATTTGCCATTTTATTATTTATCACAACAAAATACTATAAAATACAAAATGTTATATATCAAAGTAACATATTTTATTGAATAGCTTTTGAATTATTCAGATTTTCTTTTTAAAAACAGCTTGTGTTATAGTTGCCAGGCCATACCTTTCAATGCGTTATATGCAAGGTCTAAAAATGAGAAAATTCTGCGAACATTAATAACATCCAGATGGTCAATTTACGGCAACCGGGAGGGTTGTAATGTAAATCCATTTTTAAAAGTAAAATGAAATCACAAATGTATTAATTGCATTTCGGTTTTAATTGTGAAATCGACGACAACCCCATTTGAAAATGCAAATCAAAATGTTACTTATATATGCGTAAATATGTCAAAAATAAAAAAAGTGTGGTCATGACCTTCTCGGTTGCCATATTCATACCTAATTTACATATTTAGTAAGAAAAAATAACGTAAACAGATCAACCTAGATTTTAAGTGTAAAATATTCATGGACTTATTTGAAGGCTGTGTCAGGAAATGGGCTAAAAGAGATAGTGGCAGAGATACTTTCGGTATTCCGACCTCAGCGGTCTCTTGGAAGGTCAATAAATTCGTGTGTCGCCGCTGATAAAAATGACTCGATAACTACTTTAAGTTGAATATTTCTCAAAAAAACGATTGCCTTATCATCATTCTGAAGATGCTTTATAATGAATAAGCTGTCTCGCTACGCGTAATTTAGGAAACAAACAAACAAAATGGCGGCGCTCTTCGACTGTGCAACTCTTAGGGTATATAAATTTCTTCCATACTCCATACAGCAGACAAATGTTAACTTTAGAGCTCGCCCGCCTACGACCGCTCTTGGTGCGCTCGATTATCTTCTCTCCAAAACATTGCAACAAATCATATATTCCGTTGGGCACAAATTGTGCGTCATTACTAGCTTACTACTGTAAAATACTTTATTTCCACTTGGAATTTATTTTCGCTATTTTCGCTGAAGGGATGCTTCAGTGAAAATAAAATCCAGTGAATATAGTTTTTTTTTCCTATATTTCAAATTTAAATCATCAAAAATCAGTGAAAATAAATTCTATACAAAACACCCAAAAAGCCTTCTCAGCGAAAATTAATTCCAGCGAAAGTAAAGTATTTACAGTAGACTAAGTCCCCTTGGGCAAAATAATCGTGCCTTGGTCCGTCACACATGCTTGGGCTGATCAAGTTCGAATCTTTATACACCCATCATACATTATATTGGACATATGCCCATGAACTTCCCACACCTCTCCAGCCTTATTAAGCAAATGCAGATCAGCGAAGATCTTCCTGTTCACTGCTTATGACCATTTATCGAAAAAAAGACAAGATCGAATAAGTACCTATTCAAAACATCAATAGGGAACAAACCTGAGATACTGCTTCGGTTTTTTGGAATCCGGAAATGTTGAAACCCCGTTAAGAACTTTGGTGTACACATGCCGACTGACTGTCGATTTGATGTATGTAGGCCAGTGTGTCAGGGCGTTGGGGTTGTTGACCGGGTGTCAATGTACAATACGTGAAAAAGATGGGTCATGGGACATTTTTTGTGCTAAACCGGATATTACTTTAAATTATGTGGATTCCGGGATTAATTCGCGGGACTCTTTGAGAAAAAAGTAAAGACTGGCCCATTCAATGAGGAAGATTTTTTGGAACACTGGGCAATAGAACAGTGTGTCTGGTGCTACATTAAAAAAAATATGCAGTGCACTACAACATGTATGATACATCTTATGTTTAGAAGAAAGGCGAGTCTGTGCTTACTTGTTTCCATTTTTTTCCACTATACAAATGCGTTCGTGAAAGGACTGAACACACTGGCAAAACCATGTTGATGCGTTAATATTAAACAGCCAGACAGAATTCCTTGATGGAAAAGCTAGGAGACTGTTTTTCTTTTTCTCAATACGGTGTAGTCACATAAATTGTAAAAAATCAATTATAAGATCTATCCCTCATCCTGGTATCAGCCGCTTCGAATTCCGGATGCGTTTACGCATACTGAGAAGAATTCTTTATCTTTGAATACATCTCCTCAACATACCACTTCCGTATTGCTTAAATATAATGCGACACGTATAATTTATGTGAAATCCCCATTCCACAACACCCGCGAGAAAGTGGAACAATCCACAGTGTGATTAGAGTCATTTGGTGATGGTATCTTCAATTCATGAATATCTTCAATTCTCTAATTTTGATAAATATTTTTGGTGAAAAGTTATATGCGTGACTTCATTGGTATTAAATATATAGGCACATTGGCGGACCTCTCGCAGGTCTGTTTATTTCATGAAGATATCTAATTTCTAAATTTGAAGAATATTCGTGTCAGTTTGGGAAAAAAATGTTATTATCAACTTCAGTATTCTTGATTAGACGGCTTCCATTTTTTGTACGTACATTCAATTCACTTTGCACATATGATGTCTTTCTTATAGCGGGGTACAGATTGCTTGCAAAATGTGCATCGAAAGGCTGCTAGTTTTCGAATGTATTATTTACATGTCACTTCTCGATATCCACTGACTACTTCAACCTAGTGCATCATTTTGCCGTGGTTTGACTGTGTTTTCTCCATATCTATGGTTCATTCAGTCAAAAACAATCGCGTAGTTAGTAAGAGAAGGTTTACCTTTAGTGGATATCCAATTCTCGTCAAACTAGTGGACAAGTCGTCATAACATCCGTGTATGCTGTCGGTCTCAAATGACTGTTTCTTCCAATTTATCTGTTATATAACACAGCTAGTGATATTTATAAATTATAATGTGTTTAAATGTTATTATTGATCTGTACTGCCCTCTATGTTCATATTTCTAATGATTATTTTCACTCATTTTCTTTCAGAGTTTCTAATATTTATTACACAGTGTCATCAACTCCGTTTGGTGACGTCAGACTGTTACAAGCATGAATGAAGCCGTACTAACCAGATCGCCGACCGATATTTTCATCGAAGAACCTAAAATATGCGGTCATAAAATAAAAACCAAAGAATGCGCCTTGTTGCTCATCGGAATATTTTGCTTGCTGGCTGGGGGAGTGATGATGATTGTGGGAATCATCGGAACTGAGGGCCACCTTGTGGCCATTTTGGGCACCCTTGTTGTCATTCTTGGGATCGTCACGTTCTCATTCTCCATATCTTTGCTTTGCTGCAAAAAGAGGCGGGAAGGCCACAAGAAAACTGCCCAGCACAACAAACCGATCGTAAAGGGCGGCATCACGCTACAGCTGCCGAAAAAGAAGAAGAAACTTGCTGAGCAGTCGCAGCCAATGATACAAGTTGATATTGTGAACGAGGACGCTAAACCGGAAGCTGAGCAAAGTTTGAAAGAGAATGATCACGAGGACGAAGAGGAACACGAGACAATGACTTCACATGATGTCACTGACATGAGGGCGCCTTTAACGCCATCAGCTTCAGAAAACAAACGGATCAGCACTTCAAGTTCACAGTCAGACAAGCGTAAAATAAGTACAAGCACAAGAAGTTCAGCAACTGAAATGGTGTAAATTCAAAACGCTGCCACTTAGACTATAAACATTACCGCGCCAATAAACAACGGGTACATTTATTTGAGCCCTGGTAATAAAACATTTCATCAATTAGTAATCCGGCTTCAAAGCTCAATTTTTACGAGAATTTTGACTTGATTCAATTTGTATAGATCATGTACAACATTGCTTTACCGCGTCTGAAAAGTGATTTGGAATCCCTCGTTGGAAAGAATACTAGTATTCTCAGTTCTTCCAATGAGTTATTCTAATTATGAGCTACAGGTGGCGCTGTTGCAAATGTCAAGCGATCTGTATTTATTGTAATTTGCATGTTCATTAATTATTTACACGATGAGTATGGTTGTTATAATGTGAGTATTTTAATATGCAATAAGAAATGACAGTCTAATAAGTATCGTAACTAAAGCTACTGCAATATTTAATTGAAGCTTGGCTTTAAATTACTAGTAATTAATTATAATATTATTAATATTATACGTCAATTTTAATCATCATATACAATAGAGGACTGTATAACATGTCTCACAGCGTACACAAACACACACGCCACAACGATATCGCCACAGCTGTTAATTTTCTGCAATTATATGAAACAAACCGTGGTGACACTGGTAATAATTTCCCGCTGTAAACTTTAAAGCATCTGCCAATATTTGGGTAATGTTAGGCTGAGGATCGAAATGCATTATGTTGACTATGGAATTATGTTGAACTGCTTATTAACACCACGGAATATCGTGGAGTTGTTGAGTGCCACGCCATCACAACACCTCTATATTCCAGTTGAGTCGAAGCATTTATATAAGATTTGTTAAAAGGATCAGTCAACAATCAAACTGCTTTCCGAATTGTTTGGTGTTAGATGTTAAGGTTGTGTAGGCAATCTCATATTAGGTTTTGAACGTTGACCTTACGTGTCTATGTAAACATACCATATTAATAAGTGACGTCACTGTTTACCTGAAGTGCGATGAGGAAAACGCGAGAAAATCCGTTGGTTAAACCACAGTCTCTCTGATACAGGGACTGGTTAAACACGAGTGGATTATACTCTGCGCTAACTTTGTATATCCATATTTTAGTATATGAACACAGGCATTCATGTACATCGGGTGTCCGTGTTATGAAAAGAACCCGATTTCAGAACAAATATCACCACTAGCATTTTGTTGTTCAGTTGTTCTTTGCACGAGACCCGAATGTTCAGCGGTCGCGAATAATTTATACTGCGATATTACGATAAATTATATAATACTAAAAACTGTGACGCAACAAAAATGCGTGGCTCACCATGGTGGGGTGTACTTGGATGAGAGTATATTTCCCTAGTAGTACTTACGCATGGGTGTTTTTTAATCACATCATTTGAATATTTATACGACATCCTGAAATGTATTGGCCCAGTCTCATGTTTACCACTGTAATGCACGATGTCTGAATATTACAAGTTTCTGTACATGGTGGTAGAAACATACTAGTATTACGTGACCTAGGTATAAAATCCAATCTTTTGCTGATAATTCTCTTTTTTTTCCAAATATGGTATTAATAGTATATACATGTATTATTGTCGGGGTACATTAACTATATACAGTAGTAACATTTCACTTACCCGGTTCTAACTGGTGTTTCTTTATTATGCATTCTGTGGGTGCAAACTTTCACTTAGTACAAGTTCACTTGAACTTTAAATTGTTTTTCTAAGGTTGACTAAAATGGTCACGCCATTTTTTTCAGAATATATTTGTCTATGATTCCTATTACAATAAATGGTTCCTATTAGTCGCCCCTTTAGCGATGAACCGCTGCCGTGACGTCATGATAGGTGTTCACATCATCGTTGTTTAATCCATGGTCGTGCGTCAATAAATAACCAAAACTGCATTGAGGACGTGACGTATTTGAAAGGCGTTTCGAGTAATGATATTTCACTGTAAATTATTGTGTAAATAGACACATAAAATTAAAATATTATATTGCAATTATTTATGATACATAACTATATAGTCTGACTCAAATATCATTGAAATGTATTTAGGCTACATACCAAATACCGCGAGATTATACCGAGACTATTGATTGACATGTAATAAAGCATTTTATTGAAAAGTAATTTCTGTTGTTTATTATCAATTTCCATATTTTGCATGTATAAGTGGGTTCCACTGGCCGAAATCGATGGTTCTAGTTTGGTTTCACTCAAATCCGAGTCGTTGCTAAATAAAAAAAAAGTCTTAGCAACGTGGAACTTCTTGCGACGTAGCTCCGCCCCCGAGGATAGGCACGGTGTTCAGTGATAGTTTGAAATGTTTCAACATTGCACTAGGACACGCATATACTGATTTGTCGCCAATTACTTACCAACCCAACCGAACAATGTAATAGACCACAGTTCTACTGACTGATGTACCATGTCATTCATCAAGGAGACCCTCCATAATGTACTATAAATGTATTAATTATTCGCTGGTTTTTAATTTCGCTATTTTCGTTATTAAGTTGAATTCACTAACATAAAAACACGTGAACTTGTAGAATAAAAATACAACTCATTGTTTCCCTGCCAAGTTCGTAAAATAAAATTGCTCAAAACATCCGGCCTCCTCACATTGAAATAAAAAAAAAACTATTCATTTTCTCACAACAAACGTCAGAATCCAACAGAACATCATACATTGCACAATGGGGTAACCCGAGAGATGTAGAAAAAAGTTAGCCTCCCCGACGGGGAATTGAACCCCGGTCTTCCGCGTGACAGGCGGAGATACTCACCACTATACTATCGAGGAATCGACAGATAATTTATTATTCATTAGCACTATATTGTTTGTAATAATAATACAGCTTATTTTTACGTATTGAATTGAATGAATTGTTAACATTATATTATATTATATAATAAAGTATACTGTTCATATTAAAAATTCCCAACATAACAATTAAAATGATAATATATTAAACACTTTTAAATACTGTAATCCTGTGAAACACGGAAGTAGTAGTATGACATGGACGGTCTACGATAGTTATTGCGCCCTCGCCGACAGATTTACCGAGTGAGTGTAAGGCTACTGCCCCATATAATGAGCATTTTAGGTAGTCCGCTCAGATGCTATAGTGGCTTAGATGTTGTAGTTTGAGAAATATATGATAGTATATAAAGATATACAACATTGATACAGATGATACATGTATTTACGAATATTTGTCTAAAAATATCATACTTTACCTATAATCCTTTGCTGGAGAATCAAGATGGCGGACTACATAAGTACTGACGAGATGTTGAAGATCTCGACAATGAAAAGTGATCTAAAAAAAGAAACTGTAAATTATATTTTCCTGCATGTGTGGAGCTCTTTGATCTGACAGCATTAAGATCTTTAAACAGAGTTTTCCTTTAGGATAAAACGAATCTTTGTAGAATGTAAAACAGTCATGGTCCTTCATCATTACAAGATTATTTACAGAAGGCGACACCCTCGCGCAATTATAACATGAATAATCAGGTGTCCCGGTTGTCAGCAACGTAATAGATGTTTTACAACACACTTATGCAGCCGCATTGCAGACAGCGGACACCATGTATGCAGTTTTTGTACATTGGTATCTATTTTTCGGAACCGGGTTACCATTGGCGGATTTAGAGGGGGGCCGAGGGGGCCGCGGCCCCTCCTACTTTTAACAACCAACAGGACTTCGCGCAATCGGCCCACGCGAACTTGGCCTTCGGCCAACTTATCGCCCCCCCCCCCCCCCATTCCAGAATCCTAGATCCGCCCCTGGTACTTTCAAAATTCCAGCGCGATGTTAACGCTAATACAAACATCAACCACTTACAGAAAACACCGGAAATAGAACCGGCTCAAAAACACAAGGAAATGACTTCACTGTTAGGCTACTGACCATGGTTCACTGCCTGGCGTTGAATGTGAACGGCACTTCTACATTTTGTTATATTCAAACAAGAATGCTCCCGGAAAATATTAAGGAATAATTTTTAATTAATATCGACAACAAATTTATAGTGTTGGGTTGGTAAAATCTTACTGAATTCTAGTATCGTAGTCAAGTAAACCCGATGGGCATGATTGTTTTCCTGTGTTGTATTGTTTGTTTTTTTACGAGCCAAATCTAAGTACAGCATAACAATAAATAGTAATCATGGTTTTAGTGAAGAGCCTACAGGTGTACACTTCGGTTATTTACAGCCATAAAGGTTTACCTAATCTGTTTTGTCGTCATCAAAGACATTCAACCGAACCGAGTTTATGATGTCATTAACATGTTGTTATGTGTTACATTACATCGGGTATTGACTTCAATTACAGTTTTAAGAGTCTGATTTCGAAAACGCAATCCATACCACCGTTCAAAGGTGTGTTTATCCCCACTCAGTTAAAAGTCTCGTTTTCATCTAGTTGACGTAATAAAAGATAAAAATCAATGTAAAATTTAAAATAAAAACTTGTAAAATTCAACCTGTCGAGGAGAAAAAACTGCTGGCAAAATTCACTTTTCGGAGAGACAAATCATGTTATACGTTTATTTTTATGACATATAGATAACCGTTTAATTTTGCCTTCATCTGTTTTTAAATTATTAAATAATTAGGCAATATATATTCGTTTTCTTGGGGGCTTTTTTAAATAATTTTGCATCTTCAATAAATACAATTATTATATTTTTGTAGTGGTATTCAATCTATACAATTGTATATATTACCCGGATGTAAATATAAGGTGCATGCAGACGAAAGCAATTACTAACTTACCCAATAACTCAAGTAAACTTATTGTAAACTTGTTCATTAGTGATAGTGAACAATAATCTTTTATGTGATGTAAAACTACATTGTACGTTTTTTTTATTTTTTATAGATATATATGCCATCATTGCTATGCTGCGAAGTTTCCATAAAGTACAATGATTAAGAGGTTATAACGAGGATACCAATGTAGGCGCGAAGACAGAACAGCGCGGTATCGACCGACGCGCAGCGGAGGTTGATCCAACGGTGTATTGTCTGAGTATATTATTCCAATGATGAAAATTGACTCGAAAAATAACGTGGCCATTTATGTTAACG